CATCCGCAGAGGTGGGAGGCGGGATTTTTTCGACGATGGGAGCTGAGAGATTGGATGGGGCGGATCCTCAGGAGTAAGATGAGGACCGCCCTGGTGATCCGTGATCTCCGTGCAGCGCGGGAAATTAAGAACGTGAAGAAGGGGGTGAACTTGTGAAGGCTCCCAAGATGCGGTGCCGGCGCCTGTGGTCTGCCCGAAGGCCCCGCTAGGCGGCATGCGGCATGGCGCCTGTGTTCCCACCGCCCACGGGATGCTAAACTTACCTTACCTTACTCGGGCCACTCCGTCAGGTACGCGCTACAATAAGGTAATGAACGGACATATCTTACCTACCTTACATGCACATGCATAAAACCCTCTGACATAAGATATCTGCATACCTACATAAGGTACATGCGCACAATCATTATTCTCAATTATCGCTGACGTCCTTCTATCAAAACTACCCTTAAATCGCTAGTCCAACACCGACCTATCCTATGCTTGGTCGTCGAGAGAGTTTATTACATACATACAGTGCAAACAGTAGTCGGGCAAAAGGTCAAAAAGTCATCGCATACACAATTCCCCCCTCCCTCCTCAACGCCGAGGCCCCTGCGCTTCCAGAAGCCAATTTTGGTTTTGTATCTCGAGCTGGCCACTCCCTCCCCCCCCCCCCCTAAATGCACCCCGCCCCTCACATGTCCGAGAACTCGTCGTACCCACTCTGTGAGCGCTGCGCCGGCCAGATCGTGCTGCCCTCCTTGCTGCCGTAAGCGCTGCTCGTCCACCCCGCGTGCGATCGGACTCGCCGCTCCTTCTCAAACTCTCCCCATCTCTTCATCGTGATCTTCGAGCTGTCAAACTCGCCGTCCGCGTCGTCGTGTCCCCCACCCTTCGTGTCTCCGGCCGTCTTGCGCGTGTCTCCCCAGGAGAAGTCGTCGAACTTCCAGAACGCGTACACCGGGAGGACAAAGTTCCAGATGGGGAGGGAGAGGAGATAGATGAACATCCAGGCGACGTAGGACCAGCGGTGCGCCGTGAGCACGATCAGAACCGCAGGAAGACCAAGAATCAGCGCCAGCAGCACGAGAGGGATGATCTGAGGAGGTCTGCGGACAATAGAGATGATGACTGCGGGCAGAGGGTTAGCATCTCCTATACATTAGGCGGGCGGATCATGACTACTTACCGACGTAGAACGTGAAGGCGATGGCGGCCGGGAGAACCAGCGTACCAACCAGATCGATGAAGACGACGAATTGCATACTGAAGCAGAACGTCCCGCAGAGGTCTCGCACGAGGATAAGCTCCATCAGGTTGTGTACAGTACTGTTGATCCATCTACGTCTCTGCGAGAGGAGGACGGAGAAAGTGTCGGGCACTGTGGTTTTGCACACTGCCTGCGGAACGAAGACCTGTTTGCGCTTGGGGAAAGTCCGCAGCATGAGGGTGGAGAGATATCGGTCTTCTCCCAGCAGCAGTAGGTTCTTCTTGTGCAGGGTATCCACAACGTTTTCGGAATAATGTTCGACCACGTCGGGGTTGGCAAGGATGGGAACCCAGTAGTTTTGGCCTCCCTTGGGGGCTTTAATTCGATACATGCAGAAACATCCAGGGAGACAAGTAACACCACCAAAGATTGACTCGAAAGACTTTGACAGGTGATGCGAGATGAAGTATTCAAAGACCTGGATAGCAGAAGTCCAGCTTTGCCTCTTGTTGGAAATTTTGGTCTCGCCGCAGAGCCCCATAATCTCGGGGTCTTTGACCATGGCCGAGATCATGTGGGTCAAGCTGTCGGGGAACACCTTGGTATCGGCATCAACCATGAGCACAATCTCGAAGAAGTCCGGCGAAATCCCAGTGATCTTCCAGAAGTTGTTGAACATTTCGAACTCCAGTTCCGTCATGCGTTCATCGAACATAACCTTTTGTAAGAAGGACATCAGGATGATCTGACTGTCACGCTTTCCTCGGTTCCCAGGCTTGCTCTTGTTGGCCTCCTCGGGAGTACCACACTTGACCACGCACATCATTGGCACGCGCTGTTGCTTTTCTGGGGGTATTGCAGAGTCGGCGCCATAGTCGTAGAAACCTGCGTAAACCTTCGCCATGTTGTGCCTCTTGGATCCACTGGCAACGGCCACATACGAGAAGGGAGCTACCTCGTCCGGGGGGATAGCGTGATCTTTCATCATGCTTAGAACGATATCGGGAGTTGATACCGTCTCGCCATGGCCCTTGATGATACCGTCACAAATGACAAGGATGGTCTTGTGGCTGTTGGGGTAATCTGTCGTAGCTACAGAATCAAGAGTCGATCGAATACCCATCTCACCTTCTGAGTAGGCGGTGACAAGGCATATGGCATGGGCAAGAGGAAAACCGAAAGGCTGCCAATCAGCAGGGGGTTGAGGCACTACAGCTTCGTGGATGAAGCCAGCAGGACCGGGTCCTTCAGAGTCGCTGCCAGTAGTGCTGTACACTTTTGATTCGGGTCGTAAGAAGCTGCTTCGACTACCGTTTGGCTGTTTGAACATAGAGCCGGGACGAAGAAGCGCTGTAGAACTCTGGCTTGCCATAGTGGTTGGCATTGTACGGCCGCCACGTGATAACCTGTCTCCAGCATAGGGGCTGGTGAAGCGGGACGTCGTGGGGAGGAAGCTCGCTCTCTTGCTCGTTCTATCAGACCCCCCAATAGTACTTCCAACATCACCAGGGAGTCGTGGTGGAGCACGGTAGATATCATCAGACCATTCTTCAATTTGTTGATTCCGTTTTTTCGCATCGGAAGATTGCGATGTGCGAGCAGGTGCATACTTGCGGCAGATGAACCACTGGAATATGAGCGCGAGGATGAACTTCGAGATCACAATAGACAGAATAAACACCAAGGAGACGTAAAGGACAACTTTGGAGGCGATACATCCGATAGTCTCCGTGTCAACCGAACCGACTTTGATGATTTGTTCCAGACATTGAGCTATTTGCTTGTCTTCAGAGGACTGGAAAGAATGAGTAACATCCCGGCCGTGGACTGCTGCGTTGGTGGCTGTCGAGCGGTCGCTGAGCTCAACAAATCGAGACGGAACAGTGACTTGTGTCCCGTTGAACCACTTCAGGAGATCGAGATCAAGCACGGTACCAGAATAGACCATCAAGTTCCTTGATACATTCCTGATGTCATCCCAGGTGAAATACACATCACCAACGCTTTTGAGGCCATGGTAGAACGTCTCACGAGCGTTAGCCGTAGTATGACAGGCGTAACCTAGATAGTTAGGAATAGTCTTGTTGATAGGACTTGATCCATCTTGATTGAAGGTATTGCACGGGAAATACCATGCAAGATCTCCATTGTCATTCGTCGGTACATCGGATCCCGGTGACAATGTGATGAGACCCTTGCATTTGCCATTGACATTCTGGAACAGAAAGCTCCCGTCTTGGCCACCGTGCTTTTCAGGCAAGTCATACAGAACATTGGCGCCAGCTGGGATCCCCAGTGCAGCTGGATGATGAGACTGCGATAAGTCATATGCACTGCCGTGGAAGATCATGTATCCGCTTGACACATGATTGACCTGTAATCGAACCGTTGGGGCACCGCAGACAGTTGCAGTGAAACCAAAGGTCAGGAAACCAACAAATGCCATAATCATCAGAATGATACTGATCAACCCCATCTTCTCCCTCCAGGCTCTTCGCTGTTCCTTGGCAGGCATCCCAAAGCACCCCAGGAGAAAGTCAGGGCACCAAAACGTAACGACAGCGCAGTAAACATTCCATAGACTCGGTGGCTTTAGAGCTTCGAGTTCCTTCTGTCTTGCCTTCTCCTCCTTCGTCATCTTACGTTTCTTTACCTTTCGATGCGTAGATGAGAAGCCGCCCTTCTCCGTGGATGTGCGATCTGCTGTATCACCGTCAAGTGGAGACTGTTTTAGAGAGATCCGTCCGTCAGATTCGCCTTCATTAGATGTTCGTAGCCCGGAGGTCTCTGTCGGAGTTGGTTCCGCATGTATGTCTTCCATAATCGGATCGTTCCCTGTCGAGGACGGTAGAACATCCATGTTCGCAGCATGCTGTCTATAGTAATAATTTGGATGGTCTCGGTCGATTCTGTTCCGCTCTGGGCGAATCAAACTTCGCTTTCGTTGAAATTCACCTGCAACTGGGGTACCCGTGCGTGGCGAGACCATACCTTCTGTCGTTGGTACGGGCGAGACAGGGGATGCCAAAGTCTCAACGTAGGATGAATTTGATAGAATACGCTGGTGCCTTGAATGCGATGCTGGGCTCGTCGGCATGAATCCTGCTTCTTCATCTTGTGGTCGAGATCGGCGGGGGGAATGGCGGAATGGGTTGTGCTGGTCGCGCAGGGGAGACTGACTGGCCTCGGGGCGCTGAGGAAGTTCCATGGCTCTGTACACGGAAACCGTCAGCAAATGCGGAAAAATCCCATGATTAGTATTCCTTCAGTTTGGTCATAACTTGTATGATGCGGGATGCAGGATTAAGGTTCAGGGGAGAGCCAGTCGAATGTCGCGTTTCGACGCCTGGACGGCGCGCGTTGATCCGCAGCAGAATGAAGTAAAACAAGAACCGGAATGTGACCAAACGTACAGTGGTGTTTCCAGAGGGCCCTGGAGATGGGAAAGAGTGTTTGTTTTGTGGTTATGTAACCCCAGCTTATGGGGTATCAAGTAAGCGGGGGCACGTTCCTTAGTCCACCCGAATTCTGGAGGCAATGCCTTGCCAGAAGGTAGAGCTGGATTCCGTTGCCTTTGTCTCTCGATAGGAGGTGGTGGGCTTCAGCAGAAGAAAGGTGGATCAGAGGACAACGGGTGTAGAGAGTTGGAGGATTCGGCTCCCAACACCGATGAGCAAACAATGATGGTCTCCTCCAGGGACAGCGACAGGCTGGCAGAATGTAGGAGAAAGCGATGGTGTTTTTGTTTCGACCACAGTAGATCAGCGAGCGGACGGAAAGGCCATAGAGGAAACGAGTGCGTGGGTGGTAGTGAGGGCCAGATGCTGGCGATGGAGATTGGCGCCCGTCACCCACCTTGATGAGTAGGCCTTCAGGATTGTGGAGAGGAGGAATGAAGAATGAATGAATGATGTACACAATCCGGAGTACTCCGTATTATTGAAGGTGGTGCTCTGGCTTTGGGGGGGGCCAAACGAACCACGAACCCCTGGATTGGTTGGCTGGTGATGTTTTTGCTTGCCAAGCGATCCACACGCCCAAGGGGCAACGATGGGGTTTTAGTCAGCGGAAGAAAGGACCAAAACGGCTAAGAATAGCATCAGAAGAGTTTAGATCGCTTTGTGGGAGGGGTTGGCCAGGAGACGCGGAATATCATTCGACGTCTGCTCTGTTTGTCCGTTTGCCTAGTTGGGTTGGGGCGTGGTTCAGCCGGATAGATATCTATAATCCACCTCTGGGCATATTTCATACAGTCACAACAATCGCATTCTCCTGCGTACAGTGTGCCTGTCTGCGGATAGGGTCGTCTCTTCGTAACGGTTCCGGCTACTTCGTGGATGGTGAGGCTAGGCGGAGCTATACGAGGAGGAGGAGGCGAAAGAGGTTGCGGCACGCATTGTCACGCATATTGTCACATCTGCAAGCGGTGGCGGGCGAGGAGCATGATGCCATGTTATCGTATTGCGCGCAGCCTTGCTGGAGACCTGACGCCATCACTGCCCGCCTTTGTGTCCTTGAGTCCTTGTGTTCGTGTGGTTGGTGCGGAGCCGCTCTTTGGCCTGGTAACTTGGTTCGTCTGATCGCCAGTTAGAGCAATAGCTTTTACAATGAACTCCGCCTAGTACACTCCGTACTCCGTCGTACCTTTTGGAGCCTCCGAAACCAGGCCAAGGAGAATAATAAAGTTTAATTATGTTTTGTGTTTTGTGTTTTGTACTTTGTGTTTATTTTGTGCCTTGTGCCTTGTGCCTTGTGCCTTGTGCTTTGTGCTTTGTGTTTTGTCTCTTGTCTTTCGTCTCTTGTCTTTCGTCTCTTGTCTTTCCCTTCGTCCTAGCATTCATGATAGTATCCCTAGGTACATGTATGTACCTAGGTGGGCTGGGAGCCTGGTGGGCTGGTGGGCTGTTATCGACGTTCCCCCCTCGTACCCGAAGATCCCGACGTCCCTCAGCCGCAAAGAACAGACTGGCCAGCCATCACCGATTCCGTATACGAGTCGAGTCTTGCGCGGCGCCACCAGCACCTGATTCTGCGATTGCATCTCTTGCCAGGCCTTATTGTACATTGTGTTGGACTCGATACCCGGAAAAGCCCCAGTAGACCTCTGTACCCTACTCTGTATACGCAGTACAACAGAGGCCGGCCTACCGCTCTCTAGTAAATCTCACTCATACGTCGTTTGTCTTACTGTGAAGCCGCCATGCCCTGATATCGATAGCGAAACTACCAGAAGCGGACAGAAACAAAACATTCAGAAGATCCCCTAAGAAACCATGGAAACGCTGCATGGGAGAGAGCTTCCTTTCATTTAGCCCTGGTCAGGCCACTATTGGCATTGGCATTGGCACGGGGATAGGAGTAGTCGTAGTCGTAGCACGTCGAGTAGTTGGGTCTTGGTGGAGTTGGGGCTTGAACAACATCAGCAAAGCCGCTCACGGTCCCAAAAGCTCCTTGGGCGCCCTGGAGGATCAGAGGAGAGGAGAAGAAAAGGAAAGAAAGGAAAAGAGGGAAAAAAGGAGAGAAGAGATTAGGAATTGCTCGACCAGCTCTTACATAAGTGACGTGCTTGCGTCCAATTCTTTCTGCATTCTTGCAGACCCGCCGCATTCCTCTGAGCCTGACTCTCTCGTCGACAAAAGAACTGGACTACGCGATTCCTCACAGAACAGACCGCTTCAATTGCAGCCCCCCAGTTTGCCCCTTGCCCCTCGCCCCGCCATCTCCATCTCCATCTCCATCTCCGTCTCCGTCTCCGTTGCTGGCAAGTTGTTCGACTTCTTCCTCTTTCCTGTCGTCGGATTTGGGCGGATTCGCATCGTCATCCACGGCGTAGGGGTAAAGTGTTCCCCCCGCTGCCGCGCACCGTCACCGTTCCGGGGTCTCTTCCAGGGGTGTTGATCACTAACAGTCAGTCGTACAGCAAGCAGGCATTAACAGAGTATTCTTTCAAACTACTACACGAGCTCATGGACATTTAACATCAACCCAATATCTTTTGGCTGGCCCGAACATTTCTCTCCTGGTCTGAATATACCCTTCCCCTGTATCCCGGGCAGTGTTCAACCTGCCTCTATTCGTCCTGGCCCTGATCTTGCTGTCGTGAAGCGTCCTACCTTAGACTGTGGAATTGCAGAGGTGAGTTTTCATCACCTCACGGCACATACATTACACCCTCTCAGAGCCGTGCCTAAGACTTTTGAAGCAGTGTTAATTCGTAAATTGCAGTGCAGGCTCTCGTTTTGGTCTTCTAGCAGCTGTGCGCTCGATTTTTTGCGGGCTTCAAAAGCCTTTTCACGCCTCCCCTCCTCGAAAGGAATAAAGAAGTACCCCGCCAGACGAATCCTGCGGCTTGTCCTCCAACAAAATCGCCGCAGATTGAACCTCAAATTAGTGCTGTCAGTCACAACAGAAGCGAACTGGCCCTTGAAGGGATAACAAAGATTTGATTGCGGCCTTGTGGGAGCATAGGGTGACGGAATTCTTGTGGCAAGCAGCCAAGTCCACCTGGCATTCGAGGCGCCGCCATGTCAGCACCGTCTTCTCCCGAAGCTCCGGCCAGGCTGTCTATAGCCGATTCAGAGTACTCGCAGCCTGGACTCCATGAAGAGGGAGAATATATGGACAATGCTAGGCGGAAACCTATGCCTCCAATACCTATTCCCGCGTCTGGACGCATACAAGAAGCGCCATTGTCCCCAGTTAGGATCAATGTGCAGCCTGAAGACTGGCCGCCTCATGCGTCCAGTGCTATGATCGAGGGAGGGGATAGTCAGGCTGGGAGGGCTTCCAGCGGCTCCGACTATGAACCAAAGCAGCAGCGGCCTGTAATACAAGATATTCCATACCGACCAAGTTATGCAACAGGCCAAGCAAGACAGGTACAGCCACAAGCGGCCACCATATCGTCACCAGAAACCTCAAGCTCGAGATCATTCTCCAACGGTTCCTCTTCCCATGGGATTAGGAACCTGACTCCTGGTCGTACAGATGAGATTGAAATTCAACAAGCAGAGAAGCCGGCTCCCAAACTCCACTACTACCATCAGTCACATTCTTCTGAAGGTAGCTCCGGTATGCATAATAGTGCGCGAGGGTCTCACAATCCATACGGACCAAATGATCCGGCAGAAGCAGGCCCATCTATAAATCGGCATCTAACCCCGACCTTACAGATGGCACGGCGGACGCCACTCCAGCGGCCGCAGTCTACATATTCTGATACTGGGTCCCGCGGTCGCTCTCCAAGTGGATACAACTCTCCATCGCCAAACATGAGAGCTCCCTCAGCCCACTCCTCCAGACGATCTTATGATAGCAGGCCGCTCTCATATATCGATCTCCAGAATGTCTCATACCCTCAAGCACCCCCGCCTCCTATTGCGATGGATAATTCCCAATTGAGATCTGCTGTTGGAAATAATGCCTCATTGCTGAGCATGGGAAAGACTCTCGCAATGTATCGAGAAAATGTCAAGAAGATGAACGATCCCGAGACGCAGTACGCGTTTGCTATCTTCCTTATAAAATGTGCTCAGGAGTTGGGGCTCGGGCAGGGAGCGGATGCTTCTCGCAAATCCAGCACGAAAGGGGGACGTGATCACGATAGTCCCTATATCGAGGGTCCCCAATCGTCCCCTGAGGAACTGCTTCGTGAAGCAAAACAGATCTTGCAGAAACTGGCAGATAGAAGCTATCCATTTGCGCAGTATTACCTTGCAGATGGTTATGCGTCTGGACTCTTCAACAAAGGAAAGGAGGATTACGGGACGGCATTCCCCCTTTTCGTAGCGGCTAGCAAACACGGTCACGCGGAATCTGGATACCGAGCTGCTCTATGTTATGAATTTGGATGGGGCTGTAGGAAAGATCCGGCCAAGGCAGTGCAATTCTACAGACAGTCGGCTTCCAAAAACCACCCGGGCTCAATGACTCGTCTTGGTCGAGCATGCCTATCCGGCGATCTTGGCATGAATAAGTATAGAGAAGGGCTGAAATGGCTCAACCGTGGAACAGAATCGGCAGATATGCAGTACAACGCAGCGCCCTACCATCTAGGTCTCCTCTACGAGACCGGATATGGGGACGATGTATTCCGGGATGAGGCCTATGCGGCAAAGCTCTTCACACAGGCAGCAGATCTTGGCCACGCAGAAGCTAGCTACCGTATGGGAGACGCATACGAGCATGGGAAGCTCTGCTGTCCGCGAGACCCAGCGCTCAGTGTGCATTTCTACACGGGAGCAGCCCAACGGGGCCATGCGGGAGCCATGATGGCTCTGTGTGCGTGGTACATGGTTGGCGCAGAGCCCGTCCTCGAAAAGGACGAGAACGAGGCATACGAATGGGCGCGCCAAGCAGCCGAGTGCGGTAAGTCTCTGACCTATTTATTCCCCTACCTCCCCCCCTTTTATCATCTCAACTCAACTGACATGAACAAACAAATAGGGCTCACGAAAGCCGAGTACGCCGTGGGTTACTTCACGGAGATGGGCATTGGGTGTCGACGCGACCCCTTGGAAGCCAACGTGTGGTACGTGAAAGCAGCCGAGGCGGGCGACCAGCGCGCGAAGCAGCGCCTAGCTGCCATCCGCCTTGCAGCCAGTGGAGGCGCGCCCGGGGACGCCGTCCCGAAGGACGGATCCAAACTCAAGAAGAGCGGCAGTGGGAACGAAAAGACGGGGCAGAACGACAAGGATTGCATCGTCATGTGAAGAATATCTGTCATCATTCATCATCAATATCATCATCAACATCGAAGAAGTAGAAGAAGAAGCGCAGGAAGCCTCCGATGCGCACCCTTCCCTTCCTTAGCTATCCCAGGAGACCTGGGATGACATAAAAATCGATGTTGGGAAATGACCACCCACCTATCTTATTCTATCTCATTGTACATATGTGGGGCATTTTGGAGGAGGGGAGGCGGGGAGGCGGGGAAGGGGGAGCTTTTGATGTCTCTTCTGCATATGCATGCATAGATGTTTTTATACATCAGTGGCGTTCTTCCTTTTTTTTTTCTTTTTTTCTTTTTCTGCTCTTTCTGCATGCATGGATAAAAAAAGGAACGAACGAACGAACGAACGAAGGGACTTAGGTAGTTACCAAAAGGGTGGATGACAGATGGCATGTCTCGCAGTCATAATAGATAATGTTGAAGATACGAACGAATCATTTCGAGTGCCACAGTGTGTGAGAAGATTGAGATTACGTTTTTTGTTCAATTGTTCATTATTGGATTGTCCTGAAAATTTCTACCCCCATCCCCGTCCAATCCCCTTGAGTAATACTAATGCTATGCTCCTAAAACAAGACCTCGGACGCTGCCGGGTCTGAAAACTGTATGAGTGAATAAGAAGAACACCCTCCTATGAATGATACGCCCCTTGCGCCAAACACGCGTAGCGCCATGCATCAGTCCATCCAAACGCCCCGGATAGACGCCAATTAAAAAATTGAAAACCAAAACTCCTGATAAACCAGAAACGACGACGCTCAATTTCTCGCCCAAAAAACTCGATATCGCATATCCATCGGACCAAGTGAAGTAGAGGATCCAAAGCAAGCAATAATCGTGGAGGTGTTCCACGTTCTTCACTGGATATCAGGAATCGTAGCCTCGGGTTTCCTTGGGTCGAACCAAGCAACCCTTCTATCATCTCCGTTCCTGGCACCAACCGTCACCCAGACGTGCTTATATGGCACCTTGACGTTGACGATTTCTCTCTGTCCCGTCCATCGTAACCGTCCTTCTGGCTCCATGTTGCTGTTTCCTAAACCGCCATTCGTGACCCATTCCTTGACGACCAGCCGGATGAATTCGACCTTCTTGCGGAAGTCATTCGCTTGCGGAATGCCCTGGATCATTGGATCGATCTCGGGGCGCTTGCGAGTTGTGGATTTGCCTAGACGTGACGGCTTGGCCATAAAGTTGAGAAGTGTCTGCAGAGGGTATGAAAGGTGTTGACGGTCGTCGAGAGCGGATGGAGGGAGTGTTCCTTTTGTAGCCAGGTCCCGTGCGGCTTCTAAAGGCAGATGATAGAAATCGCACCACTTGCCATCTGCGGAGATCACAATCTTTGTGTGGTCTGGGAAATTGAACTGGAGATGGTTAGCAATAAATCATTTTGGAATAGAAGCCAAGACTTGCCTGAAAGTGTCCGTCACAGAAGCCCCAGCAGCCCACGTCCCCAAACCGCTGGTAGAAAGTCACTACGTTGCCAGCAGCTACAATCTCCGAACCCCTTTCATGGGGCTTCCGAGCAACAGCATCATCGTAGGGATAGTCTTGATCTCTCCCATATGCAGTCATGTAGTTTGCGAACTTCTTCCATAAGACGATCTTTTCCCGCTTTCTATCATCCCATTCGTCTTGGCCTCGTGACAGCTTGCCAACCTCGCCATTCTTTCCAACAGTAATCTTGTAGTTCTGTGGATTGACCTTCCCACGAGAGATTCCTTGTTCTCCTCTATTTTCGTAGAATTCAATATTAGGTCCAGAAATAGGAACCAGTTGGTGTCGATCCGGATACGCCTCGTTTCCTCGGTTTTGTAAGTGACGTTCAGCATCACGGACTACCACACATGCCGGTGGGACGTAGCCTTTGCTTGAATCAGAGGGGTCCACAGGAGCTGCCTTGAAGATGCATCCAACACTGCCATTACTAAGAATATATCCAAGTCCGAACTTATTAGTATAGTCGACCCATTTCACAACAATCGTCGGGTTAGATGGGGCGGAATAAGATTCTATCGCAATAGACCTGCTGTTGAGGGCTCGATCCAACTCAGTCTGGAGGCTACGAAGACCATCTAGTATGTGGTCAGGTTTTGTTCCAGATATCGATTCCAGTCTCTCTCGAGGATTAAACAGAGATACAGGATATTCCAGTACGGGCGGCATGTTCAGATCGGCTCTTCGTTCTGCTGCCGCTTTGTTCAGATTGTTAGCTAGGTCTGCTGCCAGTCGGTCTTCGACATCGGCGACTTCTTCTACGACCTTGGACTCGACGTTTTGAGAAGTTCCTTTAACGCGCTTGTTGGAAATGGCTATAGTTGGGCGTGTCCTTGGCTCTGCTGTAGTTTGAGAGCTCTGTTGCTCCGGTTGAATCTCTGGAATAGCTTTGCGCGCCTTGGTGGTTCGACTGGAGGGGTTGGATGCTTGAGGCCTTGCCCGTTGCTGGGCAGCAAAGCTTTGAGTAGAGGGTCTGCTAGAAGGTAGAATTGCTTGGTCCTTAGTCTTTGACATAGGAAGAGGTTCCAAAATTTTATTCAATGCTTCCGATGCAGCCTCCATATCTTTTCCGCGTTCCATGACTTGGTTGGCTTGTTCTTTCAGCCATTGGTTGAAGGGACGATAGACCACGTCCTCAGGGAGAGGCACTGCCGGGGTAAGGCCAGCTTTTTCCTCCGCAGCGACTTCTCTATATGTACTCGTATGTTTCACTGTGGGACTCCAGGGACCAACTTCGCATTTGATGCATAGTTTCTTCAAGTTTCGGGTGTAGAGATTTGATCTTCCTGCCCGAACACCAACTGAAAGGAACTTTGTTGGGCTTGGCGCTTCATCCCGAAGTTCTGGTGTGATTTCTTCGGAATCGGGCATCCAACCACAGGTGAAGAAAGGATGTTGTACAATAGTATCAGGATCAGGCCTCTTCTCTGGACTTTGCAGCAGGGCAGCCACCAAATCTTTCGTTTCCTCTGAGATGAAGTTCTCCGATGTATTCAACTTTGGCCAGTCGTACTCTCGTTCTCGGGCTCTACGATATATCTCGTCCGCAGTGGTAGATTGGAAAGGTGGTTTCCCGGTGAGCATTGCGAATCTATTATTGTCAGTAGAGAAGAGACCACACCTCGGGAGATCTTACATGATAATCCCCAGACTCCAAATATCAACTGCATGGTCATGGCCCCCTTTATTCTTTTCCAAGATCTCAGGCGCGATATAATTTGGAGTACCGCAAAGTGTTGTTCGACGGACTGCAACCATATCTTTGCCCGACATGAGCAGGGCAGCTAAGCCAAAATCTCCAATCTTGATGTTCATGTCCTTGTCCAAGAAAATGTTGCCCATCTTGAGATCACGGTGGATGATCCCTTTAGCATGCATATACTTGATGGCACCTGCCATCTGCACAGTCCAGAATCTTACTTCTGGTTCTGTTATGTATCTCCTCTTCTTCACCATGTCCATTAAGGACCCGTTCGGGCAGAGCTCTAATACTATATATGTGCATTTTTCGTAAGAGAAAGCTCTGTGGAATTGGACGATGTTGGCATGTCTCATTTTTGAGTGGATTTGAAGCTCAGTTTGGAACTGGGAAGAGGTTAGTTTATGCATCAAGGATCGCAGTTGTTGAGGTAACCTTTTGCTCCATCTTCTTCTGAGGCATGTAGCTCTTGACAATCTTCAGAGCGTAGTTCTGCTTCGTGCCGGCAAGCCGACCCTCATAGCATATCGCAAATCCTCCTTTGCCAAGGCATTGGCCCATCTGGTAGATTGCTCCATTTCGACGATCAGCACTGGGTGGTTCCCTAACTTCGGCGGGAGGTGGCGGAGGGTGGTCTTTCTCTTTCTGCGAAAACTTCGCTGCTGGTACTTTGGGTTTTGCTGCAGGCTGCTTCGCTCTTATGTGGGCATTTGCATCCCTTGGCGACAGAGCTTCCATATCGAGTCCGTCAGGGAAGATGCACTCCCAAGCCAAATATGGACGCGATCGACAGAAAGCTGGTTCAGTGAACTTCTCGTAGCCCACACCGTCGATTTTATCGTCTTGTCGCCACAGCCGGAAGTAGAAATCTTGTTCCACAAGCTCGTTGTATGCTTTTCTTTCGTGGATGTTATGACAGCAATAGATCTGCAGGACACGTTGGTTAGTAAAGAAGCGTAAATCATGATTTTGATCGGCAAGCAGTTTTCTGTCGCAGTCTCGAGGGACCCCGAGAGTCTGGCAGAGAATCTGAGCGAACAATTCGAAGACGTAGGCAGGAAATGTGTAGTCCTTTCCCAAGGCTTGAACGTAGAGCATTTCGAGCCACCAGATGTCTGGACGTGAAGAAAATGGAGAAACGGGCGTGTTTGGGGAACTCGGATCAACCAGCTGGATTCCCATCTCCTGGTTCTCCTCCTTCCATTGCCTGCGTATGGATTTGGACAGCCAGTTGACCGGGTCCTGGGGGATAAGGTCGCCCATTGCAAGGTTCGTGGGGGTGGATGAAATGGTGAAGAAGCTTACTATTCCCTTGCGAATAAGAGTGTTATTCGTCGATATCGTTCTGAGTTGTGGGTGGTGTTGGCGGGCATCGAGTGAATTCGAGTGAATTCGAGTGTGTATTATTGAATTCACAACACAGGATGGCGTTCGGTCGTCGAAGCTAGTCGAGCCATCACTTGTCTCTTCCAGTTGTAGGAGACTTCAAAGTAAACGTTTTAGTCGTGGGACCATTGGCACGGCAACCATAGGCTGACTAACATTCACGATGGAGCATTATCGCAAAGATGCGAGCGAGTATGCCCGCCGCCAACGACCCATGGTGGATTCACGTAATACGGGGACCATGGCTCAAACGGCAAATAGGAGCTAAGCCGCCCAGTGCATTATCAAGGCATCGATATTTAAACCAACCTTTAGCCACGACCCCGGATGTGAGCCTGACTGGCTTTCAGAATGGTTCCTCTTCCCCTGTTCAAGTTCGCGTCTCTCTTCGTGAGGCACATCTCGAAATATGGCGCAGTAAGTACTACTAATCAAGTTGTTGTAGTTGGGCTAATAATCTTCCCCAGAACTATATTAAAGCTCAGGCCCACGACCACCCAAAATTCCGCACTATTGCAGCTCGATATGGCCAGTCGTTGCATCAATTCAACATGCGGATGCAGGTCACCCTGCTTCGAGATTTAGCAGCCGAGAAACGAGCGAAAGAAAAGGCCGAAGCTCCTACGGTGAAGACGGAGGAACAGACAAAGGCTGAGGAGGCGGCAAAAGAGAAGATGGCCAAAGAGAAGGCGGCACAGAAGGAAGTACCGAAAAGTGTATGGAGGCGCAAATTTAGGCCGCTGCCAGAGAATAAAGCGGTGGACCTGTTCGCAGATGTTATTGGAGACTCGTTTATTCTGTTCGTCGCCGGAGGTCTGATCTTGTACGAATACGTAAGGTCGAAGGGGAAGCCAGATGCTAATGCAGAGAAACTGGCCGTGATGGCCAAGAAACTCGACGAGCTGGAACAGCGAGAACTCGAGCTGGAAGAGGCGGAGAAGAAACGACAGGCTCAGGTCGAGGCCCTTGAGCAAGCTCTAGAAGAAATGAAGAAAGGCGGTGACAAGAAGAAGGCAATAGCATGGGCTTCATGATCAGCATTATATCTGCTGTAGCCCACAAGAACCTTCCGATAGGGGGAAGTCAACTATGTCGGTCCTAGAGAACAAAGTGTACTGTTCTCAAAGCTCTGTCAGATCAGTTGTATGGAACAGAGCTTTCATAAATCGAATTCTGATCTCCAAGGGGCACACAAGCACTTTTCGCTTCTCCAAATGTATTTAGCCTCATGAAGTTATGGTGGACATGGAACTCGTCTTTACCAATGTACACTCTACTCTACATGGAAATATAATCTCATATTACAGGCCACCTTTGAACGTTCAATTCAGGAAGGAAGGCAAGCCCTCGGTGTGATATCCCGAAGCCTTAGTCCTACAAATCCTACATTTACCCATCTCAGAGTGTACTTTGCCGGGCACCAAATGTTCTGCTCGTCTTTACGCAAGCGCCGCGAATGGGCGTCGGTGCCTTCTGATCTCCTATCCCAACAGCAGCCCAGATGGAAAGGTTAGTATAGTTAACAGATACCGTTGAGGGTTCGTTGCTAATGACTGTCATAGAACAAGTACTCGATACTCATGATCTAGCTATCCCCCTTCCGCAACTTCGCCGGCAAGATCAAAAGGAGTGGTTCCGCATCCTCCTGCTTTCTTCAGCAGATACTCAACCTCCATCGAACTACATGGCTCGTATTGAGAGGCTTTATCATCAGACAGGGGGACGGCACGTGGGGCTTGTTTTCCTTCTCCGTGAGAGTAACTCCGCAGAGGATGGTACAAAAGCGTTCATGGCTCTCCAACTCAGGTACGGCCTTCTGGTTTGTCATGACAAAGCTTGCAGTTCTGATGTGAAGCAGCTTGCTCTCTAGTTTCGAGATGCCTATCATCCCATTGTCCTCAGTCTCGACATTGCGGGAAACGCTGTCTTCATTTCAACGACAGCTCTCACAGACTCGATCTGCAGGCCGTCCTCCGCAGATCAACCCTACCACAGCCCTGTTGCCATTCTGTTCTGTCAATGGGCCCATCCCTGAACATGCCAGAAATGTATTGAGTGATATATGCCACAGCCTTCCGGAACTAGCTCAAGCTGCTACGACACGGGATGGTCAGGATGCGCTTAGACAGTGGTTGACAGAGCCGTCTCCAGATGTGGCGGGGAATATCATAGAGTTCTGGGAGCAAGAGTATATTTTTGAATGATTGCAGGGGCGGGGCGGCGGAGCGGGGCGGAGGGGTAGAAGATCTTGGAAGAAACTACTTATGGCTGGAAAGAGCTGGCTTCGAAGCATTGCAATCAATCAATTAATAATATATTTTGTCTTTCAGTGAAGCAATCGAAACTTTGATTGCTTTTCATGAACGTAGTTATATACTCAGTACAAGAATATATGTTCTAAAGCTCGATCGTCGGAATGGGAGACACATTCCCCGGGACGTGGTGGACCCTGAATTATGACGTATGTGTACGTACTATCGGTATGTTGCGAGCTCCAGCTCCAGCTTCCACCATCAAGCTTGAGACAAACCCCACGTATTTGCAAGCGTGCCCCCTCCCGTAATGACTCTAAGCCAAGGAAGATCAGAGAAATGGCGGAATCGCGCATATTTGTAAATGGGATTCTTACTCATAGTAGGAGGAGTCCACGCGATCGAACCCTTGAACAATGACGTAGATGTCGAAGGGGGGAGACCGCCAGGAACCCGTCACCATTTATATACTTAGGAAGCTACAAAACCACACCACTGCCTCCTTTCGAACTTCTGAATTCAACCATCTACCATTGAATCGCACAAACTTCCCAATACAAGAACCACCACCTCCTCCTAGGAACACCCTCGAAAAACCATCCAACTTTCCCACATCTACTACAAAGCCATATCCATCATGACTCGCGGAGAAGCAAACCAGGTCAAGGTCCACTACAAGGGCGCGGACGAGGACTTCGTCGTCTTCCTCGATGACCAGAAGGCATACCAGGACTGGAAGAAGGACAAGAGCATCCCTCTGGCGCATTTCGTGAGCTCGTTCAAGGTCTTCGTCACTCACAGGTAAGCTCGCTCGCATTCCCCTCCCGAAGTCTCATTACCCCACATCGCCTGATGCCTGCCCTGCACACTTCCGCCGAGGTTGCGCAAGGCAGATGATGGCTTGGGCTCCTGCAATCATCAAGACTGGGAGTATCTTGGTGAGGATTTACTAATGATTGTGAGCCAGACACGGCGCCCAAGGTACATTTGACGGTGCCTCCCATGCAACTCTCGAGAACGAATTCGGCACCCATGACGAGGATGAAGTCATCAAGCAAGTCCTAGAGAAAGGTAGCATTCAAGAGTCCGAGGTACGTGCCATTCTTCTTCCCTCCCTTCTCTACCATCTTTGTGTACCAGTCAATGTACTGACCACCAACAGTTTCCTGAAAGGGTCGGTACCAAGAACGATAGTGTGCCCGCCCGCTTTGGTCACTAGATGCGTAGGTTGAAAAAAAGGGGTTGAGCAAAAGAACATGACGGAGGGAATACTTGCATTATGTGCTTGGTTTGGCTGGCGATGGGATTCAGGGCGATATCATGAGCGGTGACGATGGGCGTTAGGTCTAGTATGGAAACTAGTACCAGGTCCGTGTAAAATAAAAAAACAGAGGTCAAAATAACCTCTCCGGAGACAAACTCCCATATACACTGATGCTGGTACTTATTCCACTTCACTGGAGGCTGTGAGGTAGACTGAGTGGACTGTACTGGGGACTTCCCAGCCCATCGATATCATTGTACCGACCCTAAGTCTGTCGACCATGGCAAGAAGAGGAATCCACTTACAATCACAAATGCGAGTAGGTTACCTTACTCATTTGTCCCCTATCAAAACATCCGTTTCGTCCCCGTGATCGAAAGCTCGTCATCTGGGTAGGTAGAATGACAGGGAAGCAAGTCACGGCACGAGCACGAGCACCACAACACGAGAACTTGAAAGCAGACTCTTGGATATCATCGATTGGCATTAACCCTTCAGCGAATGCATCCCCTCAATCTCCCCCCAGATTATGCAGAAATTTCTCTTTCTCCGATTATCAAAAGGACGCCGTCGCTGATGCTTTCAAATCCCGAACCCCATACCCAAATTGGTGTATGCATACATGTATGTACCCGCTGAAGCCTGCTAAAGATCTAGGTATCTGTAGCCATTGGTATCCCTCCTCCATCTCTCGACCCAACGAGATAAGTAGGTAGGTACATATCTAGACCTTAGCTAGTCTTGGTCTACGAGGCACAGACCATGGCTGAGCAACCACAACCTAGATTTTCACGCGTTGAGTCAGTACTACTCTCTGTTCATTTTTTGACTCTTGAGGACTGGGACTGGGAAAGCAAGCGGCATCTTCTTACCTCTCCTTCACTGTACGCCCAGAAATAGACGCCCAGGCCAATCAAGTAGTAGATGGCTGGGTTGGTAGCCTGGTACAGCAGCGCGGCGGCCAGAGCCGTGAGCGGGAGGACGACCAGGCGGGCCTCGATGCTTCGATGCAGAGCCGTGCCAGCCAAGAGCGGGAGGGGCCATTCCCAGGCGAACATCCAGATGCCGAAGAGCAGGTTGATGATTTGGAGGATGGGCACTGGCTTCACTGCTCCGTCGAGGTTCTTCGTTAGGAAGTCCCAGAAGATCTTGGGCCAGAAGAATCCTTCAATGGCTGCTGCTACTTGGTCTTGTCGAGGGGGTTAGGTTAGTCTGGATACTTGTGGTCGAGAGGAATGAATGAAGACGTACATGCGGCGGCCGTGAGGATTATTAGTCGAGCCCAGTGGTTCTTGATGAGCTTCCCCATAATATCTTAGATATCTGTTGACTTTTTCTAAACGCCTTTGAAGATCAAGCAGGGTCCGAATGGGGAAGATTGAGGGTTCGGTCACAAAAGATGATTAAAAGGTGGAATGAGTGAATGTATCCGAACCTGCGGAGGGGGGACCAGGCGAAAAAGAGGCCGGTCTGAAAAGAATGCTATCGAAGACGACGAGTGCACAGCGCTGTCGACGAAGTTTCTTCTCCAGGGAGGGTTTCGATGGTCTATATCTCTGGGCACCAGGACCTACACGGTAGATCACCGGGCAACAGAGAAGGGTCCGCTTTCAACTTTGTATCCGATCCCGGTTTGATTGTCCAAATTGGATGTTTTTGAAGGGGTAGTCAGTCCATGGAATGGTTATCTGATCTTCTATTACAGATAACATCCGAGCGATGGTGAGGCAACGCGAAGTGGAGGAAGGGCAGGGCAGTGTCAGAAGAGCAGAGGATACCGTTATGCCATCGAACGGGATACCAGAGCGGCTTGTGTCAGTGATTGCACGGCTTCATCTGATCCGAACTATAGCTGAGGTAGATTTGGGGGAGATAGTGTTGCTGGAGTGTCTGGAATCTGGAGGAGCTTGAGGTTGAGACGTCTTGGAGTTTGAAGGTTGAGGAGGGGGGAGGTTGCAGCAAGTATGATCTTCACAGATGCGGGACCTGGGAGTCTAAGTCTACGGAGATACCAGTACCCCCATGACTGGGGGGAGGCCTTGGAGGCGGCTGGTCTCTTGGTTTGTGACGAGCGTGCCGGCCATGCATCGCAGACATCACAGAAGGCTCTCAGAACACGGGAGAAGGCTAGCGAGGCGGATGGAGGACGCAAATAGCGTAAAGCGACAATGGGCGTCCCAGCAACCTCACAATCCCAATTGAGTCTCGACCCGAGCCTATCACAGACAGGGACCGCTGTGAGATCCAAAGTGGCGGGCTCCAATGGCTCTGTGGGTTGGCGGTAAGAGGAGCAAAGGAGGTCGTTGTGGATGGTGATTGGCGATGGTGCCCGGGCCACTTGATATCGATCCTGGGCTGGGCGCGTAGAGGAACAGTCCACACAGGACGGTGCTTACAGAGGGACAAGAACTTCACACACACAACACAGCATGAACCGACGGGCAGCATGAGACGGACAGGCCGCCTGGTGATGATGCTAAAGATACTGATGAACTTGCAAAAAATAGACTGTCTCACCCGTCCTTCGTCCAGGGTCCTCGATTCTTCTCCACTTTGCAGAGGAATAGACCCCCTCGCACTGGGTATCCCCTCAATTACACACACGAGTTCCCTCCGCTCATCGCCTGAATTCCCAGAGTCTCGGAACAGCATGATGTCCTCTACTTTTGGCCCTGAATCACGATTAGCCGTTTAGAGAGCTCGGTTGCCATATCTGATACCCGTCGCAGAAGAGTGAAGGGGTTGAGACAGGCGGCTCCAGCGCCCTCGTTTTATCGCCAAACCATATCTCAAACCTAGATTGTCACGAAAAGAATAATACAGCCGTTGCATTATCTTCATCAGATCATGGCTGGACTCCGTCTTACCTAGAGGAATTGGCCGGCGACAAGGTGCGGCCGTGCTTTTTCACCCGACAACTTCAAACGGGTCGACAAAGCGGTACACGCGCATTCATTCGGCAATGCTGCTCGAGGGGAGCATGTCTCCTTCGAGAGCGGAGAAAAGCCGAGGTGTGCGATTGAATCATCTTGCATTCCTCAAGGTGCGGCGATGGCGTCGATACATATATGCTTGTATGTATGCGCATTGCGTATTTTGTAGAATCTTAGATACAGAGCATCTATCTGTACGTGCCTCGATGATCTGATCTGCTTCGACATCAAATCTATTTCGGGTTTGGGCGCTTTTTGTGTCGCTCACCCCCATGCCCCATCAACCTTCCAGCGCTTCCAACGCTCCTCTCATTGGTCCGACAAACCTCGAAAAGTGCGGGGCACCCGCCATGGCAGCTTGGGTTTTTCCTTGAAGCGCCCGTAACGTCGAGTTCCTATGTGATTGACTGACGACCGACTGCATTCAACCGCCTCCTCTATTCACGAGTCCTGTCGTAAGACGCGTCATTCCTCTCTGATGCCAGATGAGCACGGGCGCGATAACAATCAAGCACAACTCTATCTTAAGTAACATCTTCAATTGAGTTTGCTGTACTATCCCCGTCTGGTCATTCCGTTTGGGTCTTCTTTCCTTAGTCTTCAACGTGGAAACCATGTCACATACAGTACGAAAAGGTACCCTAACTTGTAGCGGGGTTCTCATTGTGCTCGAAAGAGAATAATCAATACGCAGTAATAGGTCTGCAACAATGCCTACAAGCGTGTACCAACGTCCCAAAACCTAGAAACGTTTACCCCCCAAACCCCGATCATCCGAAATTGACGTAGACCGACTTCCCTTACCATCGCCATAACCCGAGAAGTATGCTTTATATATACAGATTTGGGCCAGACCTAATTCTACCCCGTCAACCTCAAGGACATGTCGATCCAACAACCGACCCACAAGCAAGATAATATTAACGAAAAATGCTAAGAATACCCTCTGCCACGGCCCTGTTTTTGCCTGCCCCTTTACCCCGTTTCCCATGTTTCTGTGCCTTCCGGATTGGTTGCACTCTCGGTACGTTCTCCTTCGCTTCTATTGGAACACCGGACACCGTTGATAATAGGGTCGTTCTGCTCTGATTAAAACTGTTCGCACTTGACGTTCTCAAGGGTGGGGTGGTAATCCTCTGTCCATCAGGAGTCCAACTGCTTTGGATCTTTCTTGTAGCAGATCTCCGCAGGGTTGCTGCTCCGCTGTCATCCGACCCAAACATGATTGAAGGGAGACTCTCAACGGAATCATTTTGAACGTTCTCCTTTTCATCTTGAATGACTGACAATCGTGACTTTGACATGTCCTCGGCCTCTTGCAGTGTCGTCACGTCACTTGAACTATGCTCGCCTCGAGCTGGAGCAGTCTTTTGTGCGTCGATACCCGTTGACGAATCATCTTCTGTAGCCTTGTGCAGACTTGCTATGCTACTGGACCGCTTTGTGAAGTTACTAGCAAAACTTGCAACACTCAATTTCCGCATCATGGAACTGGCAGATGCACGAACGAGATGTTCGCTGCGAGCTCGACCTGTCATTCCCGGGAACGGAAGAATGTCTCGGGTCCAGACATCAGCGAGAAGAGTTTCAAGTCGAACTCGTTCTGCACGGGACGGTGCCAGGACTGGGATGCGGTTTGTCGTGAGAAGAGATTGTGACCTGCTAATAGAGGCACATGATGCCGAATGGGGCATACTTTTGCGGGAGTTCGTATTTTTGATGATAACCTGGCAGAGTCCTGACTTTGGGCCTACGGTCGTTGCTCTGTGGATGGAGATTCTTCTCGCTATAGTCCCTACAAAAAGTCAGCTATGGCCATGACCTTCAGAAGGCGCGCAGAAACGCTGGCCGGGAGATAGATAAGCTATTACACTCACCAGGTTTTCCAAATACCGTTCCCATCGGCTTGATATCAAGTGATAGTGATGCACACACAGCTTGTTCCCCTATATGCAGACCATCCCTGCCAGAACAATTAGTGAGACGGCTTCGCCATTCAAGCTCTTCTTTGGGTGAGCAGGCAGTCATAGTAATCTCAAAGAGTTGATGATCGTATTCGAATACGAGCTTCCACGAGAATGGAGCTGTGTGACATTGCAATCCTAGAATACCATTAGCTTCCAGGAAGATGCCACCAGAGACGTTGGAACCGGAGTGAATGAAATATCGGTGGGATTTTAGTGTTTCACTGATAAACATTGCGGATGACTCTGATGCTGTATGCATACCTCGTCCATTATCAGTCTCCTCGACCCTAAGCTCATTTAATCCTATGCAAGCTTGAACTGTATATCTTTGGTCGACTTTGCTAGCGGAAGCTAGTAAGATGAAGTCACGGTATAGAAGGGTGATGAAATATTGGCCATTTACACCATCCTTGGTCTGCCAGGATACGTGAAGCACGCCACAAAGATAAATGTGTCCAAGACTGCGAACAAAATTCTTAGAGAGGGCTTCGGACTGCATAGAGAATTAGCCAAGCCTTGAAGTATACGCACAAGATTGGGAATCTCTCGACAACTCACCTTGTCAGGAAACAGGAGACGATCTTGTAACAGCCATGATTTTTCCATGGTAGCCTTCATTCGAGGATCATCAGTTGCTCGGTTGATCTCCGTAGTGGCCTCCCTCAATCTAATAAGGACATCTTCAATAGCCATATGAGAATCAGGGCAATCACAAACTGGGGTTTGCTTTAAAAGCTCTGCGAACAAAAGTGGATATTTGCACACCCGTTGGATTGGCTATTTGACGATTAACAATGGAGAGCAGTAGGCACGGGATACTCACTTTGACAAGTAGATCACCGATAGTCAAAGATTTCTTTGAGTTGCCATGTTGAGTGTTAATTGAGGATAGTGACGTTGCCAAAGCCTCCAGCCCTCTTTGATATGCGTCCCACTGCGGCATGGTCCTATATGCGGATGCCACGTCCTTGAGCATCAATTCATATTTGGCACCATATTCCTCATACACGAAGAAACGATTCATCTATTCAGGAAAATGTAAGCAGATGATACCCCCCCTTGTATTGGCGCAGTTCACCTTTTTCTCAAATACTGCCGCAACCGAAGCTGCCACTTTCGGTTCGGCAGTCATGCCGGGAATTTTCTGAAGCCAGGAAGCCCCTCCAGCATGTTCTGGCACAGCGTCTAGGCTGTGCCATCTATTGTGCCCATGAGCTGATGGCGACAACGTTGAGCCAGCGCACTCTAATTGTGTGTATTCAGAATGAGGTACGGCACGATGGAGGTCTCCTAGGAGCTCTTCGTGTAGCTCAACAATTTCGTTCAGGTTCCGATTGATGGACGCTCTAAGATTCAAAGACAGGGTCGGAATGGTCGCCATGAGGGTCGCATAAACCTAAGAAAAGATTAGCGAAGTGTTCCAATCAGAAGGATTCACAATCTTACGTTCATGAGGAATTTCACGTCGGCAACATAGCTCTCTTCGGTTGTTATAATCTCTTCAAGCACTCGACGGCGTTGGAGTAGACGGTTCATGACTTCCTGATCAATGGCAATATCACGCACCATATAGGAGCTGTCTTCTGAAAGCCGCCCGACGTTCGAAGCCTTGCTGCTACGGTCTGTCCTATGATGGCGAGATGAAACCCCGGTTTTTCTCGATCGTGGGGCGATGCTCAAGCTGGCGAGACTGATACTGGCACTTTTGACTGCTGTTACAAATCCGAATGAAGATCCGGACGAAGATTTCTTATGGCGAGTCCTGCCTGGCTGGGATGGCAAATCGAAGAACTCTCTTTCCAGTGCCGAACCGTCCAAGTCGCAACTCACCGTTTTTCGCCGTTGTATAGCTCCCCTCTGAAGCGTTCTCATCCATTTGTTGAAGGGCCGCTCAGGTTCCAAGGGCAAGGGTCGATTACGAACGGGTTCTAGATCATCTAATGAGAATCTTTTCCGTTGAGGCGTATATTCTGCTTCAGAGTCATCTGTATTGAACGACAGGCCCAAAGCAGCTATGTTATCCAATGTGTTCCATGCCTCGCCGCCTTCACTGGTGGCAGAGCTACCACAATTAGCATTGAGGTCAACATCATCAAAGACGTCACCCTGGAGTTCGCTGGTAGACCTTTGGTTTGAGGGTGGTGGAATCGGCGTTCCCCAGCTAGTCTTTCGGGAGATGTGTGTAGAGTCCCGGCGAGGGCATGTTGGTGTAGAAACGTCAAGAGGAGCCTTGCTCTGAACGTGAGTATTGGATTGATCCATCATGCAGAATCCAAGGACCAAGAAATGTAAATACAAGACTGCTTCAAAAGACCAAGAAAGACCAGTGGGCAATACAGAGAGATCTAATTGCAGCACCAAAATATGCTGGGCAAGAGAAGAATGGCATGGGAGACGGAAGATAGAGACAACGGATAGATCTGAGGAAACAACATAGGCTGAGATTTCTTGGATTTTATAAACATCGCAGGGCAAGAAAGAGCGAGCCTTGCTCCTTCTCAACAACTCGATTTGAGATTTAATAGAGTAATCAGCACGCTGATGCTGTGTTTGGGTAGTATCTACCTTAGGTACCTTAGTTGTCAGCTATTTTCTTTATGTTCAGAGTACCCAGATAGGAGTTAAATCCACGAGCTATGTTTAGTCATCCATTTTTACCCCTCCACCACGATCGCTACAACGCGCCTCGCAGCCTGGTGGCAAGCTTCGTTGGGCAACAACTTGCTCCGAATCCCTCACTAATCATGGCGTCGCGAGCAAGAATGGAGAATCTTCATGCCCCTACAGTGCCTTCGGGACCAACGTCCTCACGCACAACGAATGGAACCCAAATCAACGGTATCACCTCCTTTGCGCAATTGCAAGCCAAGAAGGACAATATAGAAGCGGAGATCCGTGCTTTGAGCAGTGTTTTGGACTCTGTATATGTCACCCACCCCCACAAGATGCTCATACTGATGGCTCTAGCATGGCGTCGATATGAATACAAGCCTCATTACCCCTGATGGATTTCCACGGGCAGATTTGGACGTTGCGCAAAGTATATCGCACAACGCTCACACGCCTCAAAAACCTACTAAAGGAACTTGCAGTTCGAACAACGAGAGCGCGCATTATTTACCTTCGAAACGATTACAAAACCCTTATGACTGTTATTGAAAAGCACATACACGAACATTTTGCAAACCTAGCAGCGAATGGTGCAACGGAGGAAGCAACACGCACTTCTGTCCCAACGAATGCAAGTATAACCTCACCACCATCACAGCCTGCACAGATTCTAGGACCTCCTTTTGCGAAGGTCAACAGTGTAGTAGCAGGAAGCCCAGCAGAGTCTGCTGGCTTGAAGGCCGGAGATGAAATTAGAAATTTTGGATACGTCAATCATACAAATCATGATGGTCTGAGGAGAGTGGGAGAATGCGTGCAAGGGAATGAAGGAGTAAGCTCTTCTCACTTCCTAATCATGGGTTCGGCACTAAGTAATGAACGCAGCGCGATGTCCTTGTAAAGGTCTCTCGACCTTCAGGCGGTCGGCGGCAGGAGCTACAACTAACTTTAAAACCTAAACGAGATTGGGGAGGTCGAGGGCTCCTTGGTTGTCATATTCTACCGTTATGATCGTCTCGGGCAAATCTGCTTTGCTTCCTCTTTTGAGCGCTGGTGTTCTATGGAAGGCGTTGGTCTCCACAAAAGTGTATTCGGAAAATGGGGGAGGCTTCTTTCTACAGCTACAGTGAAAGGTGTGCTTAAGTTCGTGCTATCTGATTCACAGCTCGATCATCTTCATAGCAGGCGATGCCGTCAAAAAGAGAAATATCGGCGCCATTTCTTGGAGTATACCCCGCACAAGATATTCATTTCCAACTCCTCGCGACAGCTTTGTGTGCACCAAGCCCGGACATTCCGCCTCCCAGATAAACTTGTAACCACTTATATCTGCAAGCATATTCTTGTCGCAGACATTAATCCGAGTTATTTTCTTGGCTGCTCGTGCTTTTGATTTGGCATCTCTACCCCATCCCACCCCCACCTCAGGCAGCAGTAAATCATCACGTGACCATTAGTCGCTAAAATTTGAGCCCACCGCCTCTGGGCTGGCTTGCACCGATCAAAACATCATCACACACATCTTTGGAATCAATCGCACAACACCACGTACGACGCAGAATCCCCACAACATAAGGTAAGCCATCTCTTCTTTTCTTCTCACTTTGTTGGGAGCCTCTGGCATTTTGCGATCGCTGCTCTTGACTTGCGCTGACTTATATCGCAGCCTTGAGATAACCTGCTCAGCTGTGTTTACACAACCTCCCAACGTACCAACAAATCAACAGCCATGGCTGAAGCCGCTTCGAACGTCCCTACCTTCAAGCTTGTCCTCGTCGGCGATGGAGGAACTGGAAAGGCGAGTTACATCCATCTCGTTGAGTGCGCCACTACTGCTAGTCGTGTCGTCCCCATTCCAGCAGTAGTGGCGCATGTGATACAAGCTCAAACACTAATACCTGATAGACCACTTTTGTCAAGCGCCATTTGACCGGAGAGTTCGAGAAGAAATACATTGCAACCCTTGGTGTTGAGGTTCACCCCCTCGGATTCAGCACGGTAGGTCTGCTTCGAAGAGTGTGCCTTGGCCCTACTGACATCACATAGAACTTGGGCAACATTCAATTCGATGTCTGGGACACTGCAGGACAAGAGAAGTTTGGAGGTCTCCGTGATGGATACTACATCAACGGCCAATGCGGTATCATCATGTTCGATGTTACTTCCCGCATCACCTACAAGAACGTCCCCAACTGGCACCGTAAGTTCTTGAGCCGGACCCCTCTTTCCGTGTCTGGATTACTAACCCTTATGGCTCAGGTGACTTGGTCCGTGTCTGCGAGAACATCCCCATCGTCCTCTGTGGAAACAAGGTTGATGTTAAGGAGCGCAAAGTGAAGGCCAAGACCATCACTTTCCACAGAAAGAAGAACCTCCAGTACTACGATATCTCCGCTAAGTCCAACTACAACTTTGAGAAGCCTTTCTTGTGGTTGGCACGGAAGCTTGTTGGCAACCCCACTCTGGTGAGTGCTCATAGCAATCTCTTTCCTAGCCCTGAAGGCTGACTATTTCAATAGGAATTCGTTGCCGCCCCTGCTCTCGCTCCCCCCACCGCCACTGTCGACCAGGCCCTGCTCGAGCAATACCAGAAGGAGATGCAGGATGCCGCACAGATGCCACTCCCAGACGAGGACGATGCAGACCTGTAGATTGGCCTAATCCAGCTCTTATGATCAGTTCTTAGCATCTTAGAAAGTTCTTTTTTTCGGCGATATTTGCATTTTTGTCAGTCAGTCTTGCAGATGAAGGCGAGTTGGCATTGATTCCCTCTTTATTGGGGGCACAGATAAATCTCACAAGGGCAGCGAGCTTGTTGAGAGGGATGGAATGGGATTATGATGAGCGACGAAGAATCAGCCTGAGGTAGCAGGGAACTTCGAGATATTGTTGCAATGAGCAACCTAAGTAGCTAGCGCATAAAAGCCGTTGGTCGGTACCTCCGCTTGGCCAACTTCGTAACTAAAAGTCGCCCAATTTCTTTGAGATAGAAAACGTGACATTTGCGCTGAGCAACAGATCGAGCTTGAGCGGTGCCACGACCGGTGCCATGACCGTCCGTCCCTACTCCAACGATTGATGCGTTTGCAGTTCACACCCGAACTCGACCTTGCCATCTTGGACTGCAGCTCATAGCCTCGGCAGCCAAGATTCTCCGCGTAAAGATCAGCTCTCTATTTCGGGACTTTTACTTCGAGGTTGGCTGTCAAGTCGATCGTGGGGATTGCTCGTCGAGGTGGGGTTGTCAGGTTGAGAGCTACGGGTCAATGTAGCAATAGATAACCCATAGCCCATTAATAGTCATGTCAAAAAGATGGTGCGAAAGTAAGAGATAGTAGCAAATGTCATTCTCCTACTTGACTCACTGCTAAGTATACTAATATCGAACAAGGTTTGGAACGGTGGGCGGCTCTGTTACTTTGCCTGAGAATGTTTCCACCAGAAGGACACTAGACCACGAAATCGAGAGCATATGCGTTTCTGAATGTCTTGCTGTGAAGATTACCGAAGCATCTTACCGATTCAATCAGAGCTACGATAATTAAACTGTCTTGGTTTGAGGGCGCGATACCGCGTAGGCGTGTTGATGAGGAGCCTGTTCTGGGCAAGGCGAGATCTCCGCCTCGCCTCGCTTCACGTCACGTCCAACGCGACATGCACGGGTCAGCGTGAACGTTCCTCTCCTCATATCATATCACAACATTATTTAGGCCTGCAACACTCGAAAATTCCATCTGAGCACTCCGATCTTTCTTCTCTATAGATATACCCCCTTCATAGTTCGGTATATTATGAATATCCGTCACAATGAGTGACGCGACTCTACCTCCTCCCCGCTCCTCTTCTGTGGCCCCAGCCACTGGGGATGGCAATCGATCAGACTCGAGTGCTGTCGAACACGAACACGGTTCCGATACATCATTTACTCAATCTACCGGTCATAACATAAATGAAGACGGTGCCGGTGGTCTCGAGGGACGGCCGAGTAATAAGCAAAAGCGGAAGAGGACTAGGTATGCTTGGATAGTATCCTTTGAAGCCCCAGAAACGCTGGCTGGCGGCTCTTCTTCACTCTTAGTACTACTTTGGCCATCATGCTAACTTCTGTCTCTAGTCCCAAAGACCAAGCCATTCTAGAAGCCGAATACAAGCAGAACCCAAAGCCAAACAAAGCGGCGCGTGCGTTAATTGTAGAGAAGGTAGATTTGAACGAGAAGGAGGTACAGGTCTGTCTTCCTATACAGATGTGGTTGCTTTGCATCCATATGACAAAAATAGGCTCATTTGCTAATACTTCCATAGATATGGTTCCAGAATCGACGCCAAATAAATCGAAGGAAATCACGGCCGCTTCTACCACACGAGCTTGCGGCATTTGGACTGGGAGGTATGGCCGCGCTGTCATCTGACCCTGCATGTGCAATGGGCTTTAGTAGCAGTCAGGGTTTGGAGGAACCGGCAGTTCGTTCTCAAGAGAGTACAACCGGCAGTCGAGATAACGAAACCACGAGCCTTCACGTGCAGGATGATCTGGTGTCTCAAGAGCCCCCGACTGTAGAGGAATACAGCGAATCTACAAAAGAGGAACCAGCAAACTCGGAGAGCAACAACTCACTACCGCAGTCGAATTTACGGACGCAATCATCACCTGAGACCTCGAGCACGGAAGCTGGCCCCTTCTCTGCCACTCAGAGTGTGATTAAGACATTTTCATCTACGCCAGGGTACCTGGCCAACCGTTGGAACATGGCCAACAGTTCAGCTTCTACACCTTCGTCTTCTCAAAACGCCCCCTTAGTAACTCCTCCTATGTAAGCGGAATTCCATGTCTTATTCCAACAAAATATTGACTGAAAATCAGATCTAATCCAAACTTACCATCATCTTGCCCTGAGAGAATAAATACTCCAGGCAACTTCACTCCGCCACCCGCTAAAATGCGATTATCGATGTCGCTTGATGGCAAGGCGGAACTTGTATCAAGTGACTTGTCACCTCCTCGTGAGAATCTTGCACACCCTTCCTCTTCTGAATCACAGCGTCATATAAGAGGGTTTCAAAGAAGTCACAGTGCTCTTCCATTTGGTCCTTTAACGCGACAGTCTCCAACCAACATCCCCCGCATCCCTCGGCTTCCTAGAGGTCGATCGAGAGACGCACGCAATTGGGAACTTTTTTGTGACACGGAGGCTCGTGATGAGCTTACCACGCAGGCTGAAAATGAATCGAGTGGTTCGGCAGTGGCAGCAATCAGCTTGCTCCGGTCTGCCAGTAGCGCCGCTCTCAAATTAAACAGCAATAAGCGCAATGCACCACCTTCCAGGCAGGATCTTAACACCAACGCGAAGAGGCCAAAATTGGAAAGGGCAATGTCAAGTCTTGCTAGACTGCAAGGTACAGCAAAACCATATTCAAAACCAGCCCAATTTAGCAATGGTAAAGATGACTCTATGAGATCACCTTCTGGAGATTCCGACAAGGAGAATTGGATTCCTGATAGTGATGGTGGTAATCTTAGACGCCGGCCGCTACCTTCGGCCAGGACAGGCAGGCAAGCCCAGTCGCAATCAATTCTTGGGGAGAATCACAAGATTCCCACACACGCCGTCAATTTCGGTGGTACTAGGAACCGGGGCCGGAGGACGGCACATGCTGGGTCTAAAATCTTTGAAGACCAGGAGAACAAGGGTGAAGTGAACGAGGAGGTAGAGCAGTTTATGCGTGGTGAGATAAGTCCCAGCAAGAAAGGAGACCTGGATTGTATCCAGGGGTTGCTATCATTGAGCCAGGGCAATTGGCGATAACGAGTCGAGTATAGAGCCGAGGCGGAGAGTTCGCAGCACTCGTGATTGTTGATATCTGTTGGATTAGAGCTTTGGAAGCAAGTATTGGGAGGAAAGCTGTAGTTTTGGCTGTATAGCGGTCTTGTTGCCGACTTTTCGATACCACATACCCTGATGAATACCAAAAAATAAGAACTAACATGATTCAAAAATGGGAGAGTATATGCGTTGTGTTTCAGCCACCGATGCTCTTTCTAGTGATTGAGGTGGCTCTAGATATCTGCCTTTGATTGAGTAATTGAGGAGACTTGAATCGAATGTCAGCCCCGGTAGCTCGGCATTCTAAACAAAGGCTTGATCGAAAGGCGAACGGACGAGGGTTTTAACCAGAGATTTAACCAGATGGACAGGAAGATCGATCAGCTGGAAAGCCGCATCAAGATGTCGTACGTACTACTGTCATCATCTTCCTCAAGATCTGATTAGGCTAACATTTACTGTTGTAGGGATGTCGACAATATCGCTCGACTTATGAACTACTAGTACATCAAGGAGGCTTACGGCCATGCTTATTGGCAGTTCAACTCTCTGGTTAGTATATATCCAAAGGCATTGTATAACAAGTCAGTCTGTCAAAGTACATCTTCCACTCTTAAAGCTATCCTCAACTTACTGTCTCTTCATCTATACTTATGTCTTCAATGTTTTGAGAATTTGCAACAGTAATTTAACAGGGCTTAGAAGTTTAAGCAAAGAATTTATGAACTAGTCATAAAAAAAACAAGAGATTAATACTCTCTCAGAGGTTCTGTTGTAAACTACATTTTTTGGATACTTGCCTTGAATCTATATTTGTCTTGACTCTTCTAGATGTTACCTACTACGTACATACACCATCGCAATTAATCTTTACAATGCTTTTATCTTTGCACTATCTGCATCTTCGAACTACTTAGATCTTTTTGCTCATCTTCTCACCTTTTTTCCTACCACTCAGATCTTCGATCTCCTTAGGAGACCCTTCGTGTTGACCTTCTCACCTATCTTCGCACAACTCACAGCTTTGTACAACTTGCTTGTATCTTCAGAGCATCTTTGCACCAGTCTTTGAAGAAGCTTCGTGTCTCTCTCGTTTTGCAACTAGTATTGCAATACAGATCAAGATGGCCGGGTCAACAAACTCCAAAATAGATCTCCCAGTCTCTACTTCTCCTTCATCAACACCTCAACCACGAATTAAACACGAACTTGAATCATCCCCCTTAGCGGCATATATACCAATCTACTCGGATGTCGAAGACCCTATAGCACTTCCCATTGAGCAGCCAACGCCTCTGCCTGTGAGGACCCAGCCTCTCTACGCCAGCCTCATTCTCGAAGATCTACCACCTGGATACTTTCACTTCACATCAGATCGAGGAACCGGTTTCACCCCCCGAGAACCACTCCACCCCGACCTCTTCCACTACCAACCAATCGATCTCTTTCCAAAGCCCTCGTTCAACGTCATACAGCCCGTCGACACCCCCCTCCCGCCCGATCGCCGTCGCGCTTCTATCCTCAAGATGAGTCCCGCGGCAATCAAGCGTGCTCTAGACGTGTGGAGGAGCAACGCCGCGTTCGCAGCAGACGGCGAGCTCAGAGAGCAAGAGAACCCCTTCCCCGGAGAAGACATGAATCACGGCTGGACGCGAGCCCGGAGCGTCATGAAGCACTTCCGCGAGATCCGGAGCCAGATGCAAGCTGAGCGTGGCCAAAACGAACTCGAGGAGGATATCCAGATCCTGCAGGCTTTCAAGGCGTTTAGTCTTGGGGCGCAGCGAGGACCGATAGACTTGGATCCGGAGGAGTTCGGAGGCATGTTCGATAGGGTGTTCGCGGCTAAGAGATCGGGATGGGCGAGGGCACCGGGCAGTTGGTGGGCGGCTAGGAAGGCTGTTTTTGAAAGATGTCATGGAGAATCTCTTTTGGAGCAGGTGAATTTAAGCTCGATTGAGATCTACGAAAAGGTCGAGAAATGGGCTCGTGTGCCGTATCATGATGGGGATAATAAGAAGAAACGCCACCTGGAGCGCTGTTCAATTGCACCAGTTGCTAAGAGGCTCAAATCCAAGAGGAAGATTGAAGAGGTGATGAGCGAGGAGTGGCGTGCGAGGAGAAGAGCACAGGAGATGCGGGCTGGACGATGGACGGATGGGACTATGAGGATGGATAGAATGTGGGAGGAGTTTCACTGGGTTCTGGATGTTGAGGATCCTTTGGATAAGGTTTGGAAATCAAAGACTGATAAGGATAAGCGTGAGGGGTTGGTCATTGACGATGAAGGGGTAGTCATTGACAAGATTCGAGAGGTCTGCGGGAGTGATATTTGGGCGAGCAGGGCTTGAGCAGCTTGGTAGTAGTGAAACGGTCGGGCTTTTTTATCTGAAGTGTCACCCATCAAACCTGCAGTTCAAGATATAGACCTGGACGTTTCTGCATAATGAATCATAGCCTGCAATTCAATGACTTGTTACCGGAGCTTGCGGGAAGGAATAAAGATGAATGAAAAATACATGGATAGAGCGAGAAGGCGTAAACCAACAACGACATGGTGATGGTTTTCAAAGATGAGATTGTATTGTCAATAGTTATTTTGCTGATAGGAAAGGTGGTGTGAAAGGGAGACTGGGAGGAAAAGAGCGTGTTGGCCTAAGCCTGACGCTAACGCCCCCTTTTCTTCTTCTTTCCCCTTTCGGTTACGGTTCTCAGGGACAAAAACCGGTGGTCAGCCTGTATTGGTTGCCAAAAAGAAAAACCCACCAACTTCACGGACATTTCTTTTCGGTAACTAATCTCCTCCATTTGCCTGCACTCTTCAAAAGGTTATCGCAGTAGTAGGTATAATGTAACTTGTGATTACCCCGTAGGACTACCTTATGCTATGAGGCAAGAGGGGTAAGCCCGACTAAACGAACAAGTCCTACAGCGCCGAAATCAAAATATAAAAGTTAGGAACAGAAACGATAATCTTGGGAGTGTTGGACGTTTGGTCTCGATGGCAGTGACGTGATACGGGGGGTTTTGTTGCACATCGCATCAGCGCTCGTCGTTGACCCTTGACGTTACGGGACGATTAGCATCACGTGATGAGATACTCCGACGAAGTCCGATAAGGTAAACCCCCCCTTGGGATTTTTAGACACGAACGAAGCCGCCTCCTCTTAACTTCATCTTGTCATCAACTCCATCCTCACCTCCAACATGGCTCCTTTAGCTACCGTAGGTATTCTGTCAATTGGAGAGATGGGGATGGGCATCGCAAAGCTGCTCATTGCTCACAACTTCCACGTCGTGACCAATATCGAGGGTCGAAGGTGGGGTCTTTCTTCCCCCCTCCCTCCTGTACTATCTCACGAAGATCCATCCATGCTTGAAGATTTTCTTTGCGTTCTCTATGAATTTTGCATTTGTCATTCGAGAGCTAGTTGTAGTCTACAAGCGTAGTCCCTGTTATTGCCCAAGACCAAAAGTTTGTCAATTCTTGACTCTTATCAATATCCAAACCCTCAAGTTTCCCTACTTGCTTTTGGGACGAGATCCCACCCAACCGCGGCTTGGATGCCCATCCTGTTCAGTCTGAAGCTAACTCTTCAAAGTGAAGATACGCACGCTCGAGCCCGGAAGAGCAATATCGAGACGCTCCCTACGGACATCTCTCTAGTCGAGAAAGCAGACTACATCCTCTCCATCGTGCCGCCGCGTGACGCCCTCACCATAGCAACACGCATCACGACGGCCTTCAACGCTGCCCAGGGGAAGCAAACCCCCCTCTACTACCTCGATCTGAACGCCGTCTCTCCCCGCACCGCCCGCGAGATCGCAGCGCTCTTCCAATCCTCCGCTCCCGCGATCCGCTTCATCGACGGGGGCATCATCGGGCTCCCCCCATCGCCCACCTCCTCCTCCGACCCATCCCCATCCTCCAACCCCAGCTCCACCAACATCACATGGCGCCAGCCCAGCATCCCCGTCTCGGGCCCTCACCGACTCAACTCAGCCGCCGGCACCCCCGGCGCCTTGGAGCTCGCGCAGACCCTAAAGCTAAACCACATCTCCGACGAGATCGGGCCCGCGTCCGGGCTCAAATGCAGTTTTTCCAGCCTAACCAAAGGCTTCACAGCTCTCTGCCTGCAGGCCTTCACGACTGCTTCCAACATGGGAGTGTTGCCGCTGCTGCTGCAAGAGGCCGAGATGCGCGCCCCGGGCCTGCTGAAGGCGGCTCGTGTGTACGTGCCGGATATGCCGCCCAAGGCGTATCGCTGGGTGCGCGAGATGCAGGAGTTGGCTATTACGCATGCGGATGAGGGAGGGTTTGAAGGGGGTGCGGGACCTGGAGAGGGCGTCTTTGGACAGATTGCGAATGTGTATAGGAGTGTAGCTGAGGAGACGGTGTTGGGGGAGGAGAAGACGGAGAGAAGGAAGAGGGGCACGAGTTTGGAGGATGTGGCGAGTGCGATGGGGGAGGGGTTGCAGAGTAAGAGGAGGAAGGTGGAGGAGGGGAGATAGAAAAGAAGGGCTGGGCTTGGGATGGTGTGTGTGTTCTGGTAATGAGTATATGATGATGAGTAGAATATATGATGAATAGATGAATAGACGTTAAACGGGTAGTAATGGTTCTTGACCACCCGCCTGCATATTCTGCTACTATGACCTGGGATCCATATACTCACTAACTAGACGAAACAGGCCTGATGTTCGTTCATCAATACCTACCTTTCAGACTTCAAATTAACATGACCGGTTACATCAAAGGCACATTCAGCAAGGTGTCTATAAGGATGTGGACTGCAGGGAAAGTTGTAATAATTTCTAAGCTAGGTACAGTATGGCTATTTATTTTTATTCTTATTGTAATCTTTAATCTTGTATTTACATGGGGGGTATCAGATCGACTATGCTTTACTCCAGAACACCTCCCAATGCCGGCTTTTCTCTCTCTCTTTTTCTGTCTCTTTCACCTCTCAATAGACGCAATATACTAATACAGTCAAAAAGAATTGTAATCCAATCAATACAATGCTGACCCCTATCTTCCCACCAGCGCTATGCTTGCGCGCCGCCGTTGCAGTGGCCGTAGTCTCGCCCCCGACGACAGTGACGGTGCCGACTATGTTGATTCCCGTTCCACTAGGTGCCAAACTCAGAATGTCGCCTCCAACAGTCACGAGGCCTCCAGCTGTGAGCGTCTGGCCCGCTAATACCAAGCTCGAGATGATGGACGCGGAGGGGCTGGTGACGAATGTAGAAGGCGCAGGAGGCGCAGCACCGTTAATGATCACCGCGTTGCCAGTAGGTGACAATGAGATAGACTGTCCATTGACAGTTATGACTCCGCCAGGCGTTAAGGTCTGCGATCCAATAACGATCCGAGACGATGCATCCTCGGTAAACGTGGACTGTCCGACCACAATAACAGGCATAGGAGATGTTCGGACTGGTGGCGGCGACGTGACGGGAGACGTCGGAGACCCGGTTTTAGGGGCGGAATCCGAGTGGGAGGTTCTGATGGGGCCAGGAACGATGATACCGCCGGCAGGAGTAGTAGTGGAAGGACCAGGCGTTGCACCAGTCTCTGTTATAGCACTGCTTGATGGGGTGACGGATGGTTCTTTTCCACTAGTGGTGGTCTGTGTACCAACAATCAAATCTGACGATCCATCTCTGGTGACCGACTGAGATCCGCTAGGTTGAGAAGTCGTTGTATCTGGAGTGGCTAGAGTGGTTGGGGAACTTGTTGGTGATTCCTGTGCCGACGGAGAGCCTTTCGGGGAACTCGTTGATTCTTGTGCCGGTGAAGGAGAAGTAGTGGTGTCTGGTTTAGGCGAAGGTCGAGCGGCTCCACCACCTCCTGGGGTTGACGGTATGTCGGGTGTAGGACTCTGCCCATGGCTGGTAGGAGAAGGACTATCGGTTATCGTTGAAGGAGAGGGAGAAGTGCTGTCAGGAGTCGGCGATGGAGTGGTTGGAGTCGGCGAACCACCACCGAATGGAGGCTCAGTTGGAGAGCTATCGGGGGAGGAATGCGTTGGATGTGGAAAACCGCCACCAAATGAAGGCAGTGTTGGCAAGCTAGTAGGGAAGGAAAGTGTCGGAATGCCACTGCCACCAAATGGAGGCTCAGTTGGAAAGCTAATAGGGAAGGAAAGTGTCGGAATGCCACCTCCACCGTGTGGGGGTTCAGTTGGGGAACTATCAGGGGAGGTGTGACCTGGGTGTGTTGGGAATCCGCCGCCGCCCAATGGAGTCTCAGTTGGAGAGCTATCAGGGGAGGAATGCGTTGGATGTGGAAACCCCCCGCCAAATGGAGGCACTGTTGGAAAGCTAGTAGGGAAGGAAAGTGTGGGAATTCCACTGCCACCGAATGGAGGCTCAGTTGGAAAGCTGATAGGGAAGGACAGTGTCGGAATACCACCGCCACCGAGTGGGGGTTCAGTTGGAGAGCTGTCAGGGGAAGTGTGACCTGGGTGCGTTGGAAATCCGCCGCCGCCAAACGGAGGCTCAGTCGGAGAGCTATCGGGCGATGTGTGCCCCGGTTCGGGATCTAATGAATGTGTCGGGAAACCAGGGAAGGTGGGTGTTGGTTCCGGACCAGGAGAATGTGTTGGAAACCCACCACCAAATGGGGGCTCTGTTGTGGGCTTATCAGGCGATGTGTGTCCCGGTTGGGGACCAAACGAAGGTGTAGGAAAACCACCAAATGGAGGTTCTGAACCAGGAGAATGTGTCGGAAAACCACCACCACCACCACCAAAAGACGGGTGTTCTGGAGTGGTAGTAGGTAGCGGGGTAATGGTCGTAGTTGGCGAACCACCACCACCACCACCACCAAACTTAGGCTGTGTTGGAGAGCTATCAGGTGAGGTGTGTCCCGGTTGGGGATCTGGCGAATGTGTCGGGAAGCCACCAAATGGAGGATCTGTTTTAGAGAAGGGCGATCCTGGATGCGTTGGAGAACCACCAAAAGGAGGTTCTGTTGGAGAGCTATCAGGTGACGAGTGTTCTGGTTGGGTACCCACCGAAGGTGTTGGAGGACCACCACCAAAAGACGTATGTTCTTGAGTGGTGGTGGACGGTGATGTAGTGGTCGAAGTTGGACTGTTCAAAGGTGGCGAATCAGGAGGCTGAGTATGATCAATGGGGTTACCGGGTGTTGTTGTCCCTTCTGCGGTATTCCCATCCGTGGTGCTAGGTGTTTGATGCGGAGAGGCTGGTTGGGTTGCCTCAGGTGGTATTTGTGTCTCACCCCCGTGATCAGGCGTGGTGCTTGGAGTCGTGCCGGGTTTATCAGAAGGCGCACCACCACTCTCCCCCTCTCTTCCACCGCTTGACGATGGGGAAGATGGGGATCCAGCACTTGGTGCCGAGGTCGTAGGTGATGGGGGTTGGAATCCTCCCAGGGAATAAATGACGGGGCCTAATCCACCCTTCTGTGCAGTAGATGACGAACTCGAACTTGACGTGGCTGCTGTTGTAGGAGTTTCTGGAGTCCAGGTTGGCTCGGTTGGTTCAATTTTGGGTTGAGTGGGGAAACTTGGAGAAGATGTTGGCGAAGGGGCCGAGGGAGCATTGGGGCTGGAAGAGGTTATCGCCGTGTGCTCCGACGTTGTTGAATCTGGTGTCGTTGTCTCCTGCCCATTTGCATGTGTCGTCGGAGCCTGTGCGGGCGTATCCTGGGCAGGCGCATGTGTCGTTGGAGCCTGCGCAGGTGTATCCTGCGCAATTGCATGCGTCGTTGGAGCCTGCGCAGTTGTCTCCTGGGCAGCTATATCTTGCGCAGGTGTACCCTGCGCATTTGCATGTGTCGTTGGAGCCTGGGCAGTTGTCTCCTGCGCAGTTGTATCCTGCGCAATTGCATGTGTCGTTGGAGCCTGTGCAGTTGTCTCCTGCGCAATTGCATGTGTCGTTGGAGCCTGTGCAGGTGTATCCTGAGCATTTGCATGCGTCGTTGGAGCCTGCGCAGTTGTCTCCTGCGCAGTTGTATCCTGCGCAATTGCATGTGTCGTTGGAGCCTGCGCAGGTGTATCCTGCGCGATGTTATCCTTTGGTGTTATAGCCTTCGGCGTAGAAGCTTCAACAACGACGATGGTTGTATGATCACATGTAGCCGCTCCATTTGGCACTGGACCACCTCTAGCTGAAGTGATAGTTTCCGTACATGCCGGCAATGCGGTGCTGCCATCTGGGAGTGAAGCAGTAGTGACCAATGTATCCGATTCCGTCTCGTTATCAAAGCGCCTATCAATCTCTTTCGCAACTGGTGAGCATCCCTCCAATTGCCTCGCGAACCGATTCCTACTCACCTGCTCGAGGATGCTGGCGATGCGCGTGGCTCAATGTGGCCGCTCCTTGGAGGATCAAGACCCCCAGGGCCAATGGCCTCAGTGGATAATACATAATGAATGCGAATCCTGATCAATTGACGGCTTCCACCCAGAACGAACTGCTATGAAGTATGCATCGAGATGATGCATACAATGAAAGAAAGACGCGACGAGAGAGAGAAGAAAGAGGAAAGAAGAGAGGAGAGCGAAAAGAGAGCTTGAATAGGAAACGGGCGACATGTCCGTATTATCTCCCAGAGAAATGAAGTGGTGAGGCGCAGCGGTTGGTGACTGACCATCGCGTCAACGGGCGGATCTGGCACAAGACGACGATCGAGCACCAAGAGACAGAGAGGGGGGCAGAGAAACGGCAGAGGTAGCCCACTGGCACACCGACCAAAGTCACAGAACAGGGAGTTCGCAGGGGGGAAGAATACCAGCCATGCCTAGATGGTAGCAGCAGAGTGATGAGCAGAGCAGCGCACCGTGGATGGATGAAGCAGAGCGAGAACCAAAAATAGCAAAACATCTTCAAGACACGAAGGATTTGGTTTAGCAAAGGATGCACGGCCGCGCTGCTGCACCGCCAAAGCTTCAAAGCCCAGCATAGGTACTACTCAGCAGAACGTGCAGCTACTAACTAACACGGCAACACCTGAACTTTGAAGTATGTTTAGTGCGCAGCGGGGGGGATATTCAAGGGGCTGTGGTTCTGTGGGAGGACGACACGTCCAATCACGCTGGGGCAAGCCGGGGGGCATCGACAGGATCGTGGAGAATATGTGAGCCGGGTCCCTTGCACGTGCGGCCCAGCCAGTACGTATCAGGTCCGAGCATCGTCTAAGCTGCGGGGCCATGAAATGATAATCATCCTCCGTGAGAAAGAAGAGGTTGGTATGTAAGGTGTGTTGGAAGTTGGGAGTTGGGAGTTGGAGTTGAAGTTGGACGTTGGACGTTGGAAGGAAGTTGGAATAGACGACAATCTTGTGTAGTAGACCTTTACTCCACACCTTGCGTAACTTACCTACTGCTAGAGCCTGTATCTCTCTATATATAATCTCCCCGATAAGCCGCGATAAAAAGACAGAACAAGGCTCCAAGCACCCACCTCGTCGGTACCTACCTAGGTAACAAGCCATTGTGCACACCTCAGTCTATAATTATCATTCCACGGTACGCACGTAGTCTATCCCAGGATCGTACCTGTATACCTTACTTTCTACGTAGAATCTTATTATTCTCTTAGCTAAAGTACCTTACCTTACCTAGATATCCCAACTCCAACACCAACCAAACCAAACCAACCATCTCCCCCACCTACCTATCAATCTGATCTGCTGGGCTCTACTGTACAGTACTTCCGTACAATATGTAGGTACTTCGTATTTGACATTTGTATTATTGTTATTATCTCCATCGCATCACACCGCCGCACGAGTTGTTTTTCCGCAGAACCAGAAATCTATGGTGATCTATCTATCTTTCGCTCACGAACAAGTTCATCCCATCCCACCCAGGCTTCTGGATCCCCCCACCAATCCCGTTTTTCCCGTCTCAACCCCACGTGGGCAAGGTATTCGAACGTTTAGTCTGTACCTGCAGTCGCGTAATACCTAGATAGATAGTACTTTTCTTTACTTTACTTTACTCAGGACTCAGGACCTACCTACCTACCTGCCTCCAGCCATGATTTTCGCCTCTCCTCTCCACGTGATATCGATATCCATACCTACTCTCTCTTCGTATTATTTCTCATTTATTTACTTATACTCCGTACCTATCTTAGGCAAGGTGGGTAAGTAAGGCAGGCAGAGAGCTGTTCCAGAGGGAGCGAGTTTTGAATTCATGATTACCGAGCTTGGTGTTTGAAGGCGGGATGGGGAGGGAATTTGAATGGATGGATGGATGGATGGATGGTGGTTGTTTCTGGGAATGGGAACTTTGGGCGCGGTGTGGAAGGTAATGAATGATTGGGGAGGTTATGGAGGATTGATGGGGCTTGGGTGATAGTTGAGTGATGGCTGTTTGTCTGTCTGGGATGAGATGAGATGAGATGTCGCTGTTGTTAGGACGGATGATATGTGCTAATAACCAACTCCTGCATCAGTATGGGGTCACGGGAAAGAATAACCATGGTATACCTAAAGTAGGTAGATGAAATCCTACTCTGCACAATTATTATCAATCTACCCTCGACCCGCTCCGCTTACGAACAGATTGACCCATACAAGAAGATTTCCGTCCCTCACTCAATCATATCAACGTCGTCCTGGGCCTCTGTAGCAGCAGCAGCAGCAGGTTCGTTGCCGTTTTCCTTCGCGCCCCAATAGTCTTCCATCTCAGCATCCAGCTCCTCTTGGGTCTTTCTGGGTCTTCCATCTTTGGCAAGTCTCTCACCCCCTCGTCCACCTCGATCGCCTCTCTCCCTTCTTGCACCTGGTCGTCGGCCGTCTCTTCGGCGGGGCAGAGGGCTGCGGGAGCGGCTATGCTGACCTGGAACATAGCGGTCCACATTGCTAGGTGCTGGCCCGCTAACATCTGAGTGACGCACTGGGGATAAGGAACGGGATCGGGCCCCAGGAGCAAGTGTGATTCGGTCCGCCAACGAACGAGGGCGAACTGCAGAATCAAACGGATTTCGGCGCGATGCTGCAGGACCCGCAGGAATGGAAATCAACCGGATAGGTTGACCTGAGAACTGTTAGATCGACACAAAGCCTCCTACAATGCCCCGTACCTTTCGCATTTGCACCGTCAAATTCTCGAATGGCTCGTTTCGCGTCATGGGCTGACTCGTATGTAACATATGCAATTCCTTCAGAGCGACCAGCACGATCGTATGTGAGCGAGAGTTTAAGGACGGGTCCGATTCGGTTGAAGAGATCCTATATCCTGCGTAAGCCCATACGCTCCTCACGAGACCCAATTGTGACCCACATCCAAATCTTCTTCTGTCAAATCGTAGTGTAGGTTCTCAACACGGAGCTTTGCGCTTGAGGTCTCGCTATAATCAGGTTAATACGGGATTTGCAGTAGTTGAAGTGCGCCAACTCACTAAATTGGCTCTGGGGAATAGCGTCTCCGGGGAGCTGGTCGGCGATCCGCTGAGATATCGTGAGCGCGGGCAACTCGAACAGAGGAGAGTATGCGTACAGTCATTGTCGAACTTATCATGAACCCATTCGCTTTATTGAGTTAGGAATGTAATGTTTGTGCCCAGGGGGAACAACCCACGAATCTATGTTTCTGTGGTCGTCTCGAGTCGACTGTGTAAAGACGAGGAGAGGCCTGGGTTAGCTGATATATTCAATTCATTGTACTTCTCTGGACAGCCACGAGGCAACGAGCGCTGAGGGTTCGGCTGCGACGAGGTCTGAGGAGTATCCGGAGAGCATTCATGTGCAGGAGGATTGAGGAGGTGGATGAACCTAACACCAGAGGTTAGTGGAGGTCGCAAATGGGACCTGGGGCCTTACCTTTCTTACGCCGTCACGAGGATATTCATTTCTTCGGCCGCCACGACGCCCTCTGGGTCCACCGTTCCTCTGCGCAGATAGTTAGTTGTGGACGTGTCGCGAGACCATAGCTCCAAGGCGAGGCTGAGGCAGTCGTGTAGAGAAGTTGAAGCTTACATGTCGTTCAGCCACGATCTCGTCAAGAGTACGATCCATTGTGTAATTATGTCGATGGCAATTTGGCTTGAGGTGAATAGAACTCGGTCCTGCGATGCTGGTCGCGCGTCCGGAGTAGGGGATGGTTTGTGTTCTGGATATTCTCCATCTGACGTCTAGTTCCAAATATCCCGGCAAATTCGAAGTCACGTGGTATGGGTTTCCTGTCTCACAAGGCTCCCGAGTACTTGCGCTAAGGCAACGTACTGGTTTCCAGGACTGAGACATATATTGATCTAGGCTTCAAATAGCTCAAAGCTATATTACATATATAAATTTATAGTTGTACAACTCGGATACCTTCTTTGGACCCTTTCCAAGACCGAGTATTTGCTGTGCCAGCTTAGGCTGGCCTATACAATGCCTATTCCAATAGCTAGTTCTCAAGCATGCCAAATCAGGGCCATTCCTAGTCTTTCCATATCAGGACTTAAATCCACGCCTCTTACTCCTCTCAAGTCTGCGCCCAATTTGTTTCATCGAAGCCCCCAGGGGCACAAACTTCTCCCTCAACTTATCTCCTTCGCCCAGCCGGTGATCCCTACATACATATGAATAAGGGAAGTCGATTTTCGTCTCAACGATATCCTGCTCCGAGACTGTGGCGTCCTTTTTAGAATATTTCTTAGCAAAATCGAGATAGAGGCCGGACTCCGAAACTGCGCCGAAGTGACCAGATCTGAAAATAACATTATCCTTCCAATTCGGGCTCCCCGTCTTAAGACCCAGTCTCCTTCTCCGCCACCATCTCGCTCTAAAAGTTTCATATTTTGGACTTTTTGGCCTTTTCCTTGGGCGTTGCGGCGTCTGGTCGACGGTGCTTGGGACTGTGCCAAGTACCGTGTGCAGTCGATACCGGTCATCCATCGGAGATCGTCTTGGTTGTGGATCAGTCAGTCTGACTGGGGACGCATTCTTGCCCTCCATGGCGAAGAATTGTATGAAGGAGTTTGGCTTCGCGATATCCCCTAGTGCTGAAGCTTGATGCTCTTCTATCGACCCACCAGTGTAGTCGAACCGTGCCTCACTGATAGTTCTATATGTCGTTTGAGGGTCTAATGACAAGAGTCCCTGCTTAGCCCCCCAGCCTCCACCTCCACTGACTAGTCCTAGTTAGCATATGAAAGTTCATCGAAATCTATGAATGGCAGGGAGTTCAACGTACCGACACGACAGAAAGTTGCCCCTTTATCCAGCCAGTAGCCAATGAACCTAGGGTTAACAATCCTCTCCTGCCAGAACCTTTGCACGTCCTCCTTGTTAGTCAATATATCGAAGGGCGGTTTGGGTGGTGAGTCTGGAAGCGCTTCTAATGGGATAATCAAGGCCCAGACACCAATGTTTGAAATTGGTAGCTTCATTGCCTTCATATATTCGTCTAGAGTTGGTTCCAATTCGCGGGAAGCAGGGCCAGGGCCATCATCAGCAAAGTGGAGTTGCCGAATGATATTTCCCAGCCCACTTACAATTCGGCGGATTGGCGTCAGGGGAACTGCAGGCACATAGGTCGACGGGACACCTTCCAGATGACTGTGAAAAACGTTGATAACCTGGTTTCTCTTCTCTTTGCTCCGTATTTTCTTAAACTGTCCATCTGGCATGGCCTGCCATCTTGAGACAAGTAATGTCGAATGTCTCCCATTCGTAAATAGCGTATTGGCTAAAGGCAAGGTAACATTGGATGGTGTCTGTCTCGTCTCCTTCGCTTCCCGAAGATCTGGTATTGGGCTCTTGGAAAAGGTGAGGCTCGATTGCATGCTTGGGCTATCCTCCGTGGTCGTGGGCTCGTCTTCCCATACCCCGGAAATAATCTGGCCTGTCCGGCCATGAAGAAGAGAGATTCCTTCTCTTGAATATCGACCTTGGCCGAGCCTTATCCCGCTGGGGTTTGGAGCGAGTCCATCAACGCACGCACAAACAACGTCGATTTCAAAAGGCGGCCCAGTTGGGCCTTGCACCGGCTTGGCCCCTCGAGATTTCTTCCCTACGTGGAGGGCCCAAGGGTCTTTCCAAGGATGAGTTATGAGTTGAAGGATCCTGGGGATAAACAAAACGTCGTCCTCGAGCCACTTTGCGAAGCTCGGAGTTACGAGGATGACGATTGCTTGGCCGAAGTTGAAGAAGCGCGCAGGTCTATGTGAGAACTTCACCCAGTGGCGCAATGACATACGGAAGTGTTCACGTATAGCCTCCAAGACCTGTCCCTTGCTCTGGCCCGAAGTAAGCAAACCTGGCAGAGGAATCGACGGAAGGGAAACAGTAGGTGCTCACGGTTATAGCTGGAACGTCCGTCTCGATGGTCGCTTGCCGGGGACCAACGTCCATGATGGCTTTGAAAAACCGGCCTTCCCCGTCGGTTCTTGGCTTGAACCAAGCCCTGGGGGAGGTCCTGACGCCCCGAACGGGTATACATGTCTTCACGTGATGATAGACTGGAGCACCCGCCGGTCTCACGCGGGTCAACATCCGGACACGGCGGGAGAGCATCTTATCAGGACTCTTCAAGATGCTTACAACCATCAATCTCAAATCGCGCCCGCGAATCCCCAAAGTCCGATATCCATGGCTGTGCAGTCGATTTGATCATTGGAGGTCAGGTGGAGGATTTTTTGCGAGGTGAGCGAAGCGAGACGGAGTAAGGGGTCTAGTCTCCACGTGACATGGCGGGGAAGGGTTGGGGTGGAGAGCATGGTGGAGAGAGAGCAGGAATTGGTAGATTCATCAAAAATGCGCAGAGGAGGCATCTCCTGTCCTTCAGTTCAATTGACCTGATGATATCTATGTATGGACCAAAGCGGACGGTAGACACGTAGTAGCTTGTTACGGACCGATATATCGCGCATTGTCAACGATGGAGAACAATCGCGCAGACCAGGACTCACAGATAAGGAAAGGAGGGAGACCTCGTCGATAAGGGAAATGAAGACTTTCAGACCTCTGAGTCTTTGACTGCTGGAATAAGCAATCGGGGGGAGTATTGTCTGCAGAGAAGACACTGTAAATGAGCACAGTACCAGAGGTTGTCGTAGAAGCCAAGGTGCCAAGCTACAGATTCAGGAGAGGCTTCAGCGTGATAAGCACCAGCCTCCAGGAGAAGGCAAGGCTTCGAAAGAGGCTGAGTGGCGCATGCGACGACGGACCAATGACAGCCGGGGATGGGGGGATGAACGTCGAAGGCCCAAACAGGGAGCTTACCGTTCGCGGTTAAGTCCGCGACGCGCGACGCGAGTTGCGAAGAAGATGCGAAGATGCGATGCGAAGATGCGAAGATGCGAAGATGCAGGTCGCAGGTTACATGTTACAGGTTGCTACGTTGCTGCGCTGCTACTGCGTTGGGGTCGCAGCGTTGCTGCGTCGATGCGACAGAGTTGACTCGCTCGGCGCAGCCTGAGGCCGATCGTCATTCCGGACTGTGAGGTACCGCGTACAGCAGGGTATATGCCGTATATGAATATATGAACCATGAACTCTAAATTGATTGATCGGGGTAAAGCCTAAAGGTAAAAATGTAAAGGTAGGTAGGTAAATCATAAATGTAAAAAATGTAAAAATGTTAAATGATGCTTCACACGGGCGCCCGGTACTTTGTGCTCCGGACGGAAGAGACGGCCTAACGCGATCGAGAATACGGATTGGGGCGCAGGCGCGGGAAAGGGAAAGGGCCACAAGTTCACACAAGTTCACACAAGTTCACAATGGAAAAACCAACGAGTCTTCTGGACGCGGGCCCTGAGCGCCAGGGAGAGTCCTTACGGTCCTTAAATCATTCTGATGTCATGCATACTGGGAAGCGCAGCCAATCACCGCGCCCCAGTATCCCCCGAAGAATGGCCCGGCCGCGAAGCCAGCCTCGTAATCATATCGGCCGCCCCGCCCCGTGCTGTCTGTCATTACGTGGTGCGACCGGCCTTTCCCATCCTCCTATGGACCGACCTATACTAAGGTACGACGGGCCACGGCTTCCCCTGCCCGTCGCCGATGCCCTTCTAGGGTCCTCAGCTCTGATAAGGTAGCATTTATTGTCAATAAATCAATATCACCATGTTTTAATATATGGAATTCAGCCTCGCGCGCGCGCTCTCTCTCTCTCTCTCTCTCTCTCTCTCTCTC